TGGCGGGCAGACTGTAGCTTCGAGTTTAATCCGATCATAAAAAAAATCTCAAAGTCTCTGACGCCTTTCAAAAATAGGCCTTGTGCATTACAAGAAGAGAATAACGTTAGGTTGGCAACACTGCCTGTGCTCAGTGGCTGCACTTCCTGAGAACGCCGCATGTCAGTGGCAGCAACATAATTTATGTTCTGATTTGGATGGGTGAACACTCAAGATCACAACATGCCTAAGATGTGTTTACACGGTCCTGACCAATCACAGTTCTTGAAAGTCTCTCATATTTCTACATAAATCCTCTGACACTAATTCGTCACTTTAACCCTGAAGAAGAAGGCAACAAGTTACCAAGAACCATCGTCAATATTTACCAATTCAGCATGGTACGACACGCAACTCAGCACAAAAAATTTAGTCAAATGGTTGAAATTGTATTAGGCAGACTGAAAGTAAAATCTCACCAAGTTGCCGGTCCAGATCCACGAATAGTTCCAAAATGGTTGTCTCTTCCTCATGTCTTGACACTTCTTTCGTCCTTACGACTATTTATATAAGCCACCTTGGCGGAGAACTATGGCGGAGACCCGTTAATTATCCACATCCAACAAGCCGACCTGTTAATTGATTAATCACTGAAGTCTAAATTCCAAGAATTCTGATCCTCGCCTAAGGAATGCCAGCAGGAGTCAATGTGTACGTTCAAATGTTATTAGAAACTTAACTGGAGTTACATTTCATTGATTTCAGACGCGTATCTACACTGCACACAAACATTCATTACACGCAGTACCCCCATTTATCTGCATATCCAGGAACATTCTGCATGAAAGAACATCGTTTGGATTAACAGAATTTTGTGATATTGAAACGCATTTTTATTTTACTGATGCATCTTGCCCTCCCATTTGACAACAGATTCGCACATCACCAAATTATAAATTATAAAAACTTCAAAACAATTTTGTTTTTCTTGAAGCCAGTTAACGCTTATTTATAATTGGATGTTATGATTTCTGTTTTTTCTCATAGCAATAAATGACATACAGATTATAGTAAAATTAATTAATTTAAACGTAAATATTATATATATATATATATACACACACAAACATGCATTCATAACATACGATTAGTATTAGGTAACACAGCTATTTATAATAATTTAATAGTTCCTCGCACATTGTGAAAACACGAAAAACATACATATTTTGAGCGGAAACAAACTAAAAAACCTAAGTAGGATTTGATGATCTTATAGCGGTGAGTACCAAGACGTTTTACCAACGTTTCAGATGATCGTGGAGGCAGCAAGGACGTTGGTAAACGTCTACCAGACTACCCGACTACAGAATCCGCGATAATTGGACATTAATAACGAGATTTAATAGTCTTTTGTTGTGATGGAGATAAACCCTAGAATGTCTAAATATATTATTTATTTTCTTTATCTGCCTTAGCCAAGATTCCTTCTTAAGTGTTTTCGGTCCTCGCTTCGATGAGATGTTTAGGTGACGCTGTTTTGAAAGCAAGGCATAACGCGTGTACCACAGTCATAGAGGGATATTATATACGGTAAGACGTTTGCAGTAGACTATTTAAATAATCCGTCAAGGCAGCACGAGGCGGATGCTAAGTGGCAATGACTTGGAATGCGCCAATGCTGTCGGGAACGAAGAAACACGAAGAGGGATGACAGAGAAGACGTTATCTAGTTTAGGTTTGTAATTAAATCAAGAAGACTTGATGCTGATATGTAGGAAGTCATCTGCATAGTTACACTCTATCTATCAAAGGCGTAGGGGTGGCTGGGGGGGGGGAGAGAGAGAGGAATCCCCAACTTTGCAGAATTGTTCAGGCTTCCAACAGAATGAATTTATGTTGCACACAGGAAATCTGATGTCACAGCGATAGAATGGGCTTTAACCTTCTACACAGTTAGCGTAGCAACGTGTACCGCCTTATTTATCATTTTATTATTCACTAACGAATCATTTCGTTAACAAAGTTTTTTTTTCAAAGTTCTTAGCTGTTAAAATAGCACAGCCTGAACTTCCGTATCCTATTTTTGCTGTTAAGGGTCAATGATTGTTCTTTTACGCAAGAGCTGGACTTTTAAATCTTATTGTTTAGAAAAGCTTTAGATGGTTATTAGGTTATATGGATATTAAACGACGCTGAATCACGTGTTGTGGTGTGTGATAGCTGCAATATACAGCACAGAGGCCAAACAGCTTATACAAATGAGACTTTGGAGATCAAGGCAGAGTGCATAACCATCAGAGCTGGCGTGAGAGAAATGTCAATAACAAATTTAGTTGAATGTGATTTCAGTTTATTTTTAAGTTGAAGTACTCACACTGTTTCCTTGCCAAGATATGAGCCGGTGGGGTGTGAATTCAGTTGTCAAAGTAATACCATTATAAATAATATTAATATCTCGTTTTTGATGATTTATGAAATCACAGTTTATCTCCCTTTATGTTATATATGGTTATAACAGAGAGTCCATACTAGGGGACAGTGCGAAAGGGACATCCCCTCTGTTCTGGGCGATGGTAATCTCCAAACAACACATCAGCTGGCAATTCTGGTTCATGATTTACGGATAAACATTATTCGCCAGCAGAACGCATCCACCTCTAATCGTCTCACCAACAAATAGATTACCACGTCGCTACTACGTGTTACAGGCGGTAATGGAATAAGTAGAGTAGAATAGAACAGGATCCGTGCAAAGTGCTGTCCCACCACCACACTCAAAACGGATTTTAAAATTTCCGCCATTAAAAGGGCAATTTTATTTAACACTCACAACAAAATGCTTGTCAAAGCGTAGGAAAGAATGGCATCCTTTTATCCGTTCTTTACATGAAGTAATAAAACGAAAGCATAATGAGGAGTATACGTCAAAATAGAGTGTATCTTTCGTGTTTAATGGTTTTGCAACTTGTTCTTACCTGAAACAACCATCAATATTAATTAATTACGTACGATTCGCAAATAACGCATAAATAAGAATAACATGTTTATTTAACGCTAGATTATATTCGTCTGTTTGTCGTCTAGAACCACAAATATGCAGCGACGTGTTCCTTGGCTGTTCACTAGAAACATTTTCTGTTAGTGCTTAAGATTGGCTTATGATTTGTCAGCAATACACATTACCTTCTTCATTAGTAACCCTCTGGAGCAGAATTTCGTCGAAAATTATTTATGAATTCAGTCCGTACCACAAAGAAAACACAACACTTTACCATTACAGCGATCAATTTGTTAACGGTGTTTAAAGAAATAATAACTGTTTACACTGAGAATCATCATATTGTTAAATTTAAGCTTCCCGTTAACAACCTTTTGAAGCTGAAACTAGAGTAAATATTATTTAAGACTTCAGTCCGTACTTCAAAGAATACACATAACTTTTTCGTTACAAAGATCAACTGGTTCATATTAAGAAAAGAATCACTTTTTACACTGAAAATAAGAAGAAACTCATTAATACAAAATGCAGAGTTAACTAACTTTTAAAGGAGGCGGTACGTATTGTTACAACTAGACTTCAAAGACTTAAAATATTAGTCTTCCAACAGTGAACAGAATAATCGCTGTCATTGATAGAAATCGAATTCCTGTCGTCAAGCACGTAACCAGTAAAACTAATCGATATATCAACTCAGATATTTCTGGTTTATCAAATCTTATAATATTTAATTTGACGCCCACTTGGACCATTCTTGTCCTGAAAGATGCAACTAGCGGAACCTAACCTCCTCTTGGAGTCAATGGTCACAGAGTCGGATTGCAACAACGGACACATTTAGACCAAACAACTATATGAAACCATGATTCTATCCCAGGAATTCTGTAATCCGACATGAAACAAATTTGTGGCTTGCAAAGCGCTTTTCAGGCACTACGAGCTCCCATAATTCCTAACAGGAATTTACACTTATTACAGACGCATTAAACGTTATCTGTTTCTCGTACTTAGGTAAAAAAATTATAATTACTAGGCCAGCCAATTGAATGTAGCAGGCAGCAATTTAACTGTTAATTTAGATAACTGTTAAAATGTTTAGTAGCTAAGTTAGCAAAAAACTAACCAACCTACAAATTAAGCATTGGAAAGCGGAAGGTCCAACAAAGTTATCACCAAATATTACCATTGGACACGATCCTAACCCATTTTATCTTCAAAACCTATTTGCTTAATGTTATCCCCATTTCTCCCTTATCGGCCTTTCAAGATACCAATTTAAAGAGAAAAATTCTGTGTAGGCCCTCAGTCCTTACCTCTCTATTTGTGCTACATATCTGGTCAATCGTGGAATAAATTTCCTTATTATAATAACATAAATAAACCATCATACGTACGTATTTTATCTTTATGTAATGCCATTTATTAACTTCCAGATATTTTGCTGATAATTTTGTTTTAAAGTATTTGTACTTCATGGTCTTCATTTAAAACACGAGTACATTTCAAAGTTCTGCGAAACAACTTACTCAGTTACTTTCAGTTGTATTAAGTATGGCTGTGTTGTAACTCGGGCGTCTAGACGCTGGTATCTCACCGCGAATATTGAGACTGTGGACAAAGTGACGCTGGAATAGGTTTCTCTCCGAGTTCTGCTAATCATCATTCCACCATTGTTTCACACTAATCTATCACTGCCCCATAATTTGTGCGACAATCCTGACATGCAGCTAATTATCACATCCACGCTCCCAAGTTAGAGGATTCATATCTGAACCGGCGCTTGGCTTGGTTCATAATAAACGTAATTTTGAATGTCCCGAGTATATTTTACCTCTGATTTTTCGAGTTCTGAAAAAAAATACATGTCGAAAACAGATTTTGAACTACATAATAACAAGAATTTCTAAAACTTACACAATCTTCTCATCTCAAACATTCTAAATAAAGCAGCAGACTTGTGGATATGTCAAATATAGAATCGTTAGTTTTAATTGTGAGTTCGGAATTTTGTTGTAAGACTTACCTTTGTCTGAGGAAAGTGTAAACAGAGTAGAGGAGGTTGGACCCGCTGCGAAATCATAATTGGGGTCTGCTGTTGTGTCATGTCTGTTGCTTTTCAGGGCAGGGTGCCAAATACGCACGGCACTTCCTCTGTTTTGACTAGGACAAGATGGTGGCATTGAAGAAATATTTGCTACTGGTTATCCACTGGCTTCTGGTCTGGTTGTGACGGGTCCAGCAGACACTGTAATAATAAAAACCAATAGTGGCATTAGGCAAGATCGTGATAAAATTTATTCCATTTCTCGCCCTCACAATTTATTTATTTTAGATATATTTTTTATTATCATCCAAATATTTCTTAAAATTTAAAATGATCTATCTCTGAGGTATTTCGATAGCAGAATAAAATATAATTTCTGATTCATATTTTTCTTGTATATTAAAAAGTTACTTATCACTCAGAAGTCCTAGGCGTAGATGGGATAATAATATTAAAATATACTTTAAGGAAATAAAATTTGGCATATGGATTGAATGAAACTTGGTCAGAATAGGGGGTCAGTGGTGTTTAGTCAGCAGTTTCTATGTAGTTTGTTAGTGATTCGCCAAAACAAATCTTGGATTCTGTTAATTCTTCATTTTGCCATTGTAAGAGTCTTAGCCTGAAAGACGCTCGGCCATTCCGCCATAATATTTCGGGATGGGGGTGGAAGAGAAGGAGGCTTTATGTCCATTTTATGGGGCGTCATGATCGCACACCCTCGCAGCCGATGTAATAAGAATCATTTTACTGCCCCAAACGTCTATGACACCTCCTGCCAAGGGTTAATGCTGCTTACGATGGACTATAAGGTGATAAAATATTTAACTTTTGTGGTCGAGGTAACAGAGTAACAGTCTCTGAAGCACGGACGATTTATTTAAAATTTCAAACGTTGTAGCCTACACGAGAATGTCTGAGGTCAAGAATAACTATTAGGCATTTGCATAATAACATTGTTACCTTCTGTCATTTTGGCTGGCATATAAAGACGTTTTATTAAAGGCCTAAATTTTGAATTTTATGTCTCCACTCAAAACGGCCTACCAAAATGTATAGCTCACAACAGAAACGTAGGTTACAAAAGAAACATAATGTATTTTTGTTCTATACTTATTATACTTATGATTTTGTCCCCAAGTACTTTTAAGGGAGAGAATTAGACGGAAGACAAATTGGAGAAAGAGTAGTGAGAGACACTGCATTTAAGGGGGAATCAGTGATCAATTTACGGATATGAAGGTTCCCATGCATTGCACACTCGCCCTTGTGTTAAAGATAGGCTGAGGAGAAGAAAACTAGATCGTAAAATGAGAAGGTTAAAAGATAAAATGTGGAACGAGGACAGAAGTTGAGTAGGATCTTAATGTACTTGATCGGAACTTTAAATTTTGATGTTATGCTTGGGAAGGCGGCATTGGGTGAACATTTAATATTAATAATGGGAGTGCTACTTTAGGGAGGAATTTTTATGTTAGTATTTGGGTAGGGGGGGGCTGCGTGATAGGCGGGCAGAGAGTACCACCACAGCATTTGTTCTAGGACCTATGAAAACCACGGAAAACCTATATCGAGTTGGCCGGTCACGGGATATTCCAGATGTGTACTGATTTCTAGCCAGCAGTCCGGCATTTAAGTACGCAAAGAAAATAAAAGTTTACATTAGAAATACCAATTAATTAATGCTGTTCAGGAAAATACTTGCTGTTTATTCTGACAATCACACGATACATCAAAATGTACTCTGTGGACAGAATGCAGAGTTACTAATTGTTGAAGTTTGTGGCACATGTAAGTTGCACTGTGCTCTAAGGTTTTAAGGCGCGAAGATAATATAATTGATGTTTCTGAGCGTTTTTTTCCCTTGATAAGAAGCCTACACACTGCATCTCCATTTCAAAGACCAATCGGATAATGATGTCTAGGGAAGCAGTTGCACTTTAATCTGAGAACCAAATGGAGTACGTAAATGCACTCTGATGGCGAAATATGAAGTTACCGAGTGTCAAAATGTGGCACACATGAGTTATCAATGTGCTTTAAAGAATTATGGACTCGTCTCCAAGACAAATGACTACCGTATATTTCATTCTCAAAACAATCATTCACATAAAAAGAACTTTCCAGCCAATTAAAGCATTCAATAAACCATTCAAGTTTTTTTATTTGTAACAAAGTAGAAATTGATGCTTAGTTGGACTTCAACGCATTGCTACCTTGCGCGAGGCACAGATTATCGTGCTAAAAATTCAGTGGGTGAGTGGTGCTAGTTGATAGTTATAAACATGGTTGTGCTGACGTGTGGTGGAAGATGGTCTTTTTATGTGGATACTAAAGCAGATGCAATGATGGCTGTTAAAATAATGCAGCAGCGTTTTTAAGCACGGTAAGTAGACAATGTAATCTAGTTGATGTTCACGAGATGTGGCGATAAAAGTTTTCACCCCGCGCTGGAAATTAGGAGCAAATGTGCAATTGGAGGCCTATTAGAAAATATCTAGGGGATATTTAAATAACCAACAATAAACGTTCTAGCGTCGGGGGTGATATAAATATGTCCTTTCGCCCAAAGATAATTCTACTTCTCATCATTTTCTTATGCTCTGTATGCATTCATACATCATTGCTTCATCTACTCATCTAACCTTTCTTTCATCTAATTACGTATTCATCAAAGCACCAAATCTTACGCACGTCTGTCCGTCTCTGTCACCTTTAGTTCATGTACCAGTTGAACCATGTACGTGAACATCTATAAGTGCTACTCTGTGTCAGGAATACGGAAATTATGGATCTGAAGAAAACTGAACTCTACACGCGGCGATGTTAATGTTATATCTTGTATGACCCAAAAATAACTTGAACTTTCTCATACATTTAATATACTAAGTATTGTAGTCGCAAGATAAATAAAGTAAAATCGATATTTTGACGAAGATGTTCAACTGTTCCTTGATTTGATTACATAGAATGTTCTATTTACATAGCAACCCTAAATACCACACAAGAATCGCTTCAACCACAAATTACGAAACCAACGGCAATATGAAATTAAAGGTTCGTCACTGTATTCACAAAATTCAGTAAGTCATTCGTATTCTGAATTAGTTGAACCCAATCCACAACTTTATTATTTATTTCTTCAACATAGAGTTTAATATTATTTATCATCTATACTTAGGTCTCGCAAAATAACCATATTTTTTTAGTTTAAATCAAGCATGCATGGTTATTTTATTTTGCTCATGCGGATTATATATACCAACCATCCAATTATATTTGATTTAATCATTCTAACGCATGGACTGCTTTCGCTGCATATGGATTTGTGTACTAACATTCATGAAAAGTACCTAAAACATTAAGTAAAAATACACATTACAAAGTTCCTTATTATCTGACTTGATTAATTAATTTGTTAATACATTTCTCCGGCTTCAACTCTTGATTACCTTCATGAATTTACAGATTCCTCGTTGTATAATATCTTAAAGTGCCTACTTGAATCATCTCTCTCAGGTCCAGATATTTTGCAGAGGATTGTGTTTCCAGCACGTATAATATATCCCATGTTCTTTTAGGATGAAAGGACTTTCGTACTTCAAACCGATATCATAATTCTAGTTGATTGGAATGGGATCCCAAGATTAAACGTCACCATTTAGAATAGTAAATGATTCAGAGAACACACATATATAGCCTAATTTATATCAAGCTTTTTCTGAGTTAACCTCAATTGCATTTAGAAGAGGAGATTATACTTTCAAATCTGAAATCAGCAGAGTACAGCGTTGCTCCGCTGAGCCGCTTAGCGATATCACTGATAAACTTTTTTAATTTCCTGTATTAGTTCCCGAAGACCACCAAGCCATACGCAATGTGACATATTTACGGCCATTTTGTTAAATGCAAACGAGACAGTATACCAAATCGTATATTCGGACAAAGGCCAGTTGTTATTTAGTCTGTGACGGCGACGAAGTCTGGCCAATAAACAAAATGGTGTGGTCGCTTAGCAACAACTGCCTTCACATAAGAAGACGGGTGACACATATTTCCGCTTATTCCAGTTTCAAATACATTGTGCGTAAATATTCCGAAGCAGATACTTTGTGCGTGTCACAAGAGATGAAGCTATCTGACCGTAATTTTTATTGTTAACTGCAGTCGTCAGAGTTTAAAATATATATTTAAAAGAGGTTCCAACTTACGACATTAATGTTTTAAGGCTCCAAATGATAATGAGTAAAGTGTGTACACATACAAATAAAAACTCATAACCGCTTTCCAGAGTCTCGTAAATTTCCAACACAATCGTGCAACTCTGCTAGCTCTTTTATGTATTTTTTTTCATATCCCACTACCACTACCAACACAAGCATTTTTCATTCCTATATATAACAATGTAAAGTCTGGTAACACGAGTATGTAAGTTATATAGACCAGAGCCGTCATATAAATTATATAGAGTCCATGGCCACCACTGTGGAATCTAGAGCGCACAGCAGCACCAGGGGCTTTGGAATAATAATACCCCCTCATATCGTTTTTCTAACACGCATGTTGGCGGGCCGTGAACTCAGTGTAGCTGGAAGGGCTGCCTCAAATTCAAGTTGAAACTGAATATAGATCGATCATAATTTATATTCAAATATTCCGCTGTATTTGTTTCGGACGATTCAAAATAAATCTGTCTATACAAGGAATTATACGTACGACATAAAACATTCTCACGGCGGTGAAGATGTAGGTGTTAGTCTTCTGGGGAGTAAAGGCGTGTAGACTAGTTGGCAAACATAAAGGTTCCAAAGGGACATACAGCATTAAGCCCTCAATATGAAAGCAGTGTCAACATTCGAAATTATGGTACCTACTAGTATACATGGCGTTACAACCCAGAAGATCAACACTGACAATTCAATCATCGCACCTTCTTCCAACTTTAGTTATTTAAATGGAATATTTAATATTTGTAAATATTCAATAGATAACTGCACAATTTTTCCCACATTCATTTTTATTTTTTGTTTGTTATCGATTAAAATTTACAGATTAAATTTTTTGTTCCCAGGTTAAATGTTTTTAATGTTATCTCACTGTCAATATTCACTATTATTGACATATTTTATTAAGAATCACTAACTAAAAAGATTTTAAAATATACAAAAAGGAAAAACACAATCTTCACTATCAATTATTTACTGTAAATCTTCGACCTACATCTAAAATGTGTAATAGCTTCTGTAAAATTTGATATCCTGATAATGACCTTTGTCTATCGAAACATGCAGTCCAGTAACAACGAACACTTGAACAACAGTGTAAATCGATTGTAAATGTGTCAGTGATAGTGTCAAGGCCAAGAGTGTATAAGCAGTACACCGGAATGTTATATTACAGGAATGAAAATGTCATTCCTGTTCATTTATTTGTTTGGTCTCCCGACTAACTTTATGCATCTCGATTAAAGTAGACATGAGATATCTGTACTTAAATTTATCAGGAAACTTCATTCTCCACTCTCATCTAACTATAACATCCACTTTAAGTGAAACCTAAATCCAACTTTCTCTCGTTTCCCAGAAATAGCTCATAATATAAAAAAGTATGACTATGGCTAACAGCACTTGCAGTCACTTCTGTTTGCAGCATCATTTAAATTCACGTTGTCACAGACAAGTTCGTATACGTGTGCTCTTCGCATCAACAGCATTGCGGAAAATGTACTTTTACTGCGCTCTACTGAGCTAAATGTGCCGGAAAGATATTTAACGAAACACGTGAACAAATTAATTTATGAGTCTTCATTTCGTCTGGAGTCCCTATGTGACGAACAAACTTGAGATAAAACTTCCCAACCTTATCTGGCTTCTCACAGTTTCGAGTCCATCACTTTTCTTCGTGCCTTGTGTCTGTTTGCTCCATCTGTCTTCACTCGATCCATTCACCTTGTTCTCACTCTACCCACAGTCCTTCTTCCTTCCAGTTTTGAGCCCATCTTCATTTTGGAAAATCTCCATTTGCTTCGCATACCTGAATCACGCAAATTACCTTGACGTGTCTGACCTCTAGCGATTTATAAAACTTTATGCTATTCCTCATTTATTTCTTCTTAAATTCTTCAGCTATACTTTATTATTTAATTACACTTTGTAGAAACGTAACTTCCTTTCCCACATTACACATCCTTCCTCTTATCCTTTTAATGAGAAATTACCATAATTTTCGCTGTAACGCCAAAGACATGAAAATAAACTATTCAATTATTTTTGCATCAATGTGCTAATCATAGTTGCCCATCCTTTCAAAGATGAAAGTTTCAATTCTATTCCACCACTTCGTTTGATTATGGTTGACATTTTATGTGTCCTATTAAAAACGAGAAATTCATCTGCTCTTCATCAATTTGTACGACTATATAGTTTCCATAATCAAATCATAAATAAATAATTCTATTCTTCATCATCACTTCACACTACCGTAGTTGCCATACCAACATCGCGCACTTTAAAAGCAGAATCTCGCTCAAATGTCCTTCCATATAACTGAAGCTGTTAATGCTTACATTTCTTTACAAATTTGTACGTCCATTGAAACAACAGAGACAACATGTGAAGATTTGCAACTCATAACGGAAAGGAATAGAACAAATCAAGTAGTCACGTGTTCTAAAGGATCCGACAGGTGCGTGGTTTTTACTGAATAAATTGACGATCCTCTAAATATTCGGGCAAGTTGCCCGATTAAACATATTTATAACTCACCACTCCTGTCACAGGTGGAGCTTGTACGGAGATATTTTGAAGTCGAAGAACAGAAACGAATGTTTCTAAAATATCTTCAGCAGCTTACACATGTGTCTCGTCTCATCTTTAATTTGTTATGATGACTGATTTTACACTTACCATTGCTGTTTCTGTAGTGATTCAATGGTTTTGAATTATACGTAATGGCTAAGAAAAGTAAATGTAAAATGGAAACAGAGGAAACGTTCTTCTTAGGTTCAGTAGGTAAGATAATCGAATGACAACAAAAGACAGGTCACAAGGAAGGATTTAGGTACCTAATTTTAATTTAAATAAACATTAAAATATTGCAAATAAAATGTAAATACTATCTGAAAAGTATGTAGTTAAAACGATTAACAAAGGAAGGCGTCAGGGCGATAGCCATGACGATAGAGGCAGCAACGACTTCTGAAACGTCGGTAAACTTCTAGCAGGGTACACAACGCAAATTCCCAGAGGACAACCATGTCCACCTTGCCCCAATGAACACAGCACTAAAAGGCGTGATAAGGGTAGGCCTGCTCTAAGGAGAAGCTTACGTAGGCTTCAGAGACGATCACAAATTAGGTACGAAGAGAAATTCAGTCAGCCAGGCAGACGCTTTAGTCTGCGAATGAGTGAGCCAATCAGTAAGATAAAGTTTCTAGTCAGTAAGACGGCTAGCTGGTTAGCGACGGAATGACGTTCATTTCGACAGTGGAGTCGGTGAAAAGAGCGAATCGATTTCTCGGTATCCGGCACAAAGTAAGCCAATAATCGATCTGTCAGAGAGTAAGACGATCAATAAGTGAGTCAGTCGGTCGTGGTGTCAAACATATTGAATGAATTACAATAATGAAAAGATAAAGTTTAAAATCACGGGGTACGTTACAATTGTACTGAGCTCCTGCAGCTGACGTTTACACAGAAAAAGTTCAGAAGACGTCAGAGTTGGTGGAAACCGGACCGTTTCTCACCTGTCGACTACATCGGCCACGAATCCAAAAATAAAGCGTCCAGAAATAATTATTATTGCAGATAAATCATGGTAGCTGCAGGGAGTCTGCTGATATCGCGATGCGAACAGAATGGACACACGGACAATAACGTAATAATAACAATACTATAGTAATTATACGTGAAACGTGTGTTCCGTTACATTTTGTAGTCTGTAAGCAAGACAAATTTTCAGTTGTCTCTGGAGCTAAAATAAGTATACGGCAATGCAGGCGTATGAGGGAGTGGAGGTAAAGCTTAATAAATTTTAACCTCGGCAATGAATAGGGGTGAGTTATCTTCACAACCCGGTCGCCTTACCCCCCAAAAAAAAATTACAGTAACCAATGGATGAAAGGGTTAGTGGGCTTCAGACTTTGTGCGCAAGATAAAAACCCCTTCCCTTATAAGGAATTCAAGCCCCGTTGTCTACCTAGCAGCATAGCCACTTTAAAGACTGAACTATCCCAGAATTCAAAAAAGTAACAATAAGATTAATAAAAGCTAAGTGATTCAAACAAATGAGAATTCAGATGCGATAAGTCATGATAAACCTTTGGAACTACCAACAAATATTTGGACTATGAAGGACGAAGTGGGAAATTTAAGACATTATACAACATGAAACTTTGAAATGTTTACGTTCTGAGCAGCCAACGTTACCATGGGTCGGACTTACCTCAGATATAAGAAACATGGCATGCATATACGAAAATCTTGAAGAGAGATATCTTGGAAGAACCAGGAGTAAATACTGAGGTTTTGTTCGGATATGACGACTTGAGTTAAGCGGAACTGGCTTAAGACATTGTCCTACGGCGGGCTTCGATATTAGCGGTGATGAGTCCACAGGTTTTATTCCTATTACCAGAAATATACTTTGCAACCTAACGTCATAGTTCGTAAAAGAAAGGACGATAACTTTTGGGTTTATATAAGTTATTGGTGTGGCTAATAAATTTACCATCTAGACTGATGGGACAATCTAAAGTATTAAACACACATGGTCCTAAAATCCATTAACAGCATTACCATGACAACAGTTATAACAAAACACATTCATAAATATTTTGTCATTAGGTTCAAAATCCCTTAACAACAAATAATCACACATCAAACAACCAACAAACACTTGCGGAGAAGGTAAATTCAAGTATGCGATCGTTTATTGCTGAGAGTGTTACAATTACTAATGCCGGTAATTGTTGAGTGTCATTTTCCAATAGTTTTTTTCGGGTCACTCAGACACAAACATAGTATCACACCAACATCTATGTCAATGCATATCACACTCCATTGTGTTGTGTGTTTGGGGCTATCGTATCACTTGGTACAGGATGCAGGATCGAGTTTATGCGTAATATAATTCACGCTTCAGTTGGGAAGGCTGAATGCTATAACAAATCTCTAGGCGATACGCAGCAATGTAACACGCGTCTAGAAATTAGTTGCTTTCAGCGCAGGGGACTGTGTACATCTGTCTGTCGGGGAGCACCATGTCAAGACTGCTGACCGCTCCGCTCAAGTGATGTTTATTTGCAGTAAAAATCAGACAAGATGGCGGGTGATGTGACGCAATATCACTGGTTGTCACGTGGTAGCTACTAAACCAATCAGCGAATCCACGAATTTCCTGAATAACCATGAGGTGCTAGAGTTACGACAGTGAAACATTTTGCTAATAAATATAAGTCTAACCAGAATATACGGTGATAATTAATGTAATGACGTCAGAAACAGTCTAATTATAATTAATAATACAGTACATTTTAAGAAAGAATTATAATTTATGAATACTTCACACTTACAATCTCATAGAGCTGTCTCTCTTTGTTTCATTTCAGGTCAAAACTGTTCTGATTTACTAACCGCGGAGACTAAAGAGCGTGCCGTCTTGACCCGATATATCACTGCGTTACTGGTACGAATCTGCTCGATGCCTAGATATATCTCTTTCCTTAGGTGGGTTTTCAATTAAAATATTTAAAAATATGCGTATTAGCGTCGCCATGTCTGCCTGGGCGGACGTTGCATTTAACAATTCGAGAACTGTAGAACAAATTTTCACAGAATTCTATATCGGGGAATCCCCCATGATTACGTCATCACTCGACATAAAGCCTCATAACACCAGACACACGAAAACGTCACTGACTCTGACACTGCTAGAGCCATTCAAGGTCCTGTTTCGAAGAATCGAATAGTTTCTTATAAATACTTACTCTACTTATAATGATGCCAACCAAGAACTGAAAAATCTATAGATGAAACAGCAAACGCGACAGAAATGTTACGTTTCTTAAACTGTCTGTGTTATATTTTGTCGTTCACATAAATGCTTTTTACCGATCAAGCAGTCAATATTAGTGTGTAAATATTTTTTCGCAAATAATTTTGAAGCAAAACATTAGGTCCTAAACTGTGATAACTAAAGAAAATATTGCGGTAAGTCCTAATACCACATTGAGACAGGCATAGGTATGTTAATAAACTTTGCTTCACTTGTACGCTAAACGTAGTGCAAAGAACGCATTTTGAACTAATGTAATCACACTTTCAAAAAGATAGCATGATACGTTATTGATTTCCCTTCTTTGCAATACCGCCTACAGAGACAGCATATGTTTACCTGCCTTACAACTGTGTCGGAGAAGTTGCCTGATGACACGGCGGCATAGTTATTGTGAGTGAAATTTTATAGCTTTGTTGAAATTACTTTCTGAAACACTTTTATTTTGTGGCTTACATGCACGCCATATTAATACTGAAGTTCGTCGGCCAATATTCATTTTTCGAAGAATTTTACGCTCATTTCTCAAAACAAGACAACCCATACATTACTTTAATACCAGTTGTTATTTTATTTAGATGCAAAGTTTATTTTTTCACTGCAAAGTTTTATTTAAAGATGCTGTCAGTAGCTCAGCCTATGTACCGTCAAATGAATAAACTATTAATGAATAATGAATTAGAAAGGATATGTGAAGGAGGAGTCGGGGGTAATTCATGGTACTATCAGAAACATCCAGTGGAGAGAATTGAAAAACCATGTAAGGTCTCAATGACGGTTGTTGATATCCGGGCAGATTTCAATTCGGGATCTGCTGAATATGGCAAAACTGTGAAGTATGATATGGCCGACACTTGATCTCCAACACAGTTGTAGGATGCATGGGACAGCACAGTTTCTCAGACGCCTGTGTGTAATGCATCTTTCACATCCCTCTGGTACAGCCCAGCCTCTTGAGATCGAAACCTGGAGAGACTGTAGCAGCCCCTCGCTAACCGTCAAGTGTTCCATTGAAAACCGAACAATGCCTGCTGGTATGATGACTACATCGCGCGCCATGAGCTGTCCAATCTCAGTTAGCAGATTTTATACGGTCTTTTGCACAAAGGAGCTTAAATGTCGCACACGGGAGGCAATGTCCTTTTTATCTGAATGCAAGTTTCAAGTCCGAAACTGATAAAAAAATCAAGTAGAAATTTGATATTAGGTATGTATATCAGAAACTGATAATCGAAATAAAACGTTGAACGTACTAACGCAATGTGATTCTGAATTGATATGACAATAAAATAATGTAGAAAATGTAGAATAATGAAAATGTGTTATCTGAATATCGCCAGCCATTTTTATATTGAATAGGGCTAAGCCCCGCTGTGCTTGTTATTTTAACCCTTTAAAGCCTAAGCTCGTCTGAGCAACCTTACGTACAAAGTTGAAAATGTAGGTTTGTGTGTTTTCATCTGACCAATCATAATGCCATTCTGCCAAATCTTTCCTGAGTTTTCGATAATGGCCGCTTTCCAGTAATTTTCCAAGCAAAATTCAGTATACATTCATTGCCTCCCCATCAGAGCTATGTCTCTAATCCAAATTTATCATACCTTTAGTGCCCTAGTAACCTATATAAACTACAAAGTTACTTTTTATGTGCGATTCTAATATTTTCATTTTTGTTTCCAAACTATTTAACGACACTTGGCTTTATGTATACCTTTCTCTCAAACACAGAAATAATGTTTTACAGTCTGTAACCAATTTACAATGTATTATAGCGTCTTCCTGTTTGTATAGCAAGTTGTTTTATTTTTGAGAATTCAAGAGGAAAATAAATAAATAAATTTATGTGCGTCAGTATATGCTCCTTTCTTTACTCTAAATTCAGACATGAAAGTTACAAATGGACCTTTCATTATAAAACGTAACATAGATCTCAATAACAAACCAACCATTCCTTTTAATAGAACACGTCACCAACTAACCTGACAATATTCATCACGAAAACGAAACACAATTGAAAAATCACCGTAGACTCTTACGATGCCACAGTTTGTATCGGAAAGTGCACCTGAAGGAGTTTAAGAAACTAAAAATGTTCAGTAACATCTCTTTATTATATAACATTTTATATGATGTATGTCTCTAAGGAGCATCTACAAGCAGACTGTAACGTCGAACGCATCTTCTGTCCTCAGAAACATCTGGAAGCTACAGACTCCGTCTCTTTCCATATTTTGTTATCTCCCGTCGTTTCCACACTCTGTTCCGGTTGGCTGACTGATAAACGAAAGAGCGGAGAAAATGCGTAAAGGAAGCGATATAAAAATCGTTATTCAATTGTCTTGCATGTCAGTGTTTTTGAAAGAAACCCGCGGTA